AGTGGTTCTCGCCCATGTCAGAGCGTGAGAAGAAGAAGACCATTAGGGAAATGACCACTATGGTGTTGGCACGACAGCCACGCTCCTGCAACTTCCTGCACTGGAAAGACCTGAAGATTATTTACAAGAGGTGAATGCTGCCCTCTGCATGTTTCGTTACCCTTCTTAAATAATTTTGTTTCTTAGGCAGAAAGACAATGAGGCTCTTTTTCACTGATGATTACTATTTATCACTTATCCTCATCGATAACGGCTTGTAATCATCTTTTGCCCAACATTTCCACTAGATATGCAAGCTTATACTTCTGCTTGGGTGTAGAGAACGAGGAGAATGAGCTGTTGGCCCTGGAGGTTATCCATCGCTACGTGGAGCTGCTGGACAAATACTTTGGCAATGTATATTACTATGTTTCGCCTTCTTTTATATTCAGTAGTCAAATGCAGTCTGAACTGTAATGGTAGCTGATAGTATTACTGTAGGCTGTACATACGTAAGCAGTAAAATAACAGAATAAATCGGATTTGAACTGTCATATTTGAAAGTGAGCAATATAGTCACTGTCATACCTTGTCACAGGTGTGTGAGCTGGACATAATCTTTAACTTTGAGAAGGCTTATTTTATCCTGGATGAGTTTCTAATGGGAGGGGAGATACAAGAAACCTCCAAACTGAGTGTGAATCGCTCTATTGAAGCATCAGACATGTTACAGGAGGTGAGTTCTTTGGGGAAATGCACAATCACACACACACACACACACACACACACACACACAGATGCACAAGACAAGTCATTGCTTGCATCTGTGGTGTGGGCATGGCTCACCATAATGAAGGAAACGGGGACACGTTTTGAAATGTAGTTTAGGTGTGATTTATCTTTTTTTAATCTTGACTTTGGGGTACTTAAGGGTCCAGATGCCTGGAATTAGTTATATATTTTTCTAATCAACACTTGTCATGAATACTGTACCAAGGTCCAGTATGGGAACTTGTTTCAGTTTTACTGGTGTGAGTGAATTGACCAGCAAGTAGTTGGTGTCGTAATGAGTTCAGTTGGTGCTGCTGAGTCCCTGGTGTGCCTTTGCCTTTCTTATAGCTAATAGGCTTGTGGATATTAGCTGTTGCTCCATTCTTTTGTATTAATTTGTGTTTGTGCTGCTGTTTTTTTACCCTCTGTGTGTATCTCTCTCTCTCTCTGCCAGTGTTATTGCCAGTGAGAGACAGATTTCCCTCTATCGTGGCGTAGGTTTTAGTGTATGGCTGATTCTTCCCTGCTCTCCCTGTACTGTAGGTCCATGGCTTTGTGTGGCACTGTAGTGTAACTGGGTGTGTGCTGTGCTTCGGAGTAGGGCTGACTAACACTTCTAATCTAGAGTTGGATTATGTGCAGTGTAGCCTCGCATTCATTTTAACCATTATCGCTTCAGGATGACAACAGTGAGTGGTATGAGGTGGAGCTGTTTGGATGACCTTGAATATGGACAGAAAGGTTAGATGTTCTGCTTGTGTTAGTTACCTATGGTGTTTTGGAATGATCAGCACTTAATAACAGGTGATGCTAGATGTGTGAATGTTAATTGTATCATAATGCATTTTTAAGAAGTTAAGAACCTAATTGTTTTTTTCTCTTTCTTTATTTTTCTAGACTATGGAAGAGTATATGAGCAAACCTGCATTTTAACCCATGGGGAAGGGATGTACAGTAAAAGGAAAACTACAGGAGCCAAATGTGTACTGTATATAAGTGGGAAGAAGTTAATGTTTAAGGAAATGAGGTTGACTTTTCTATTGAACACTGAACATAAAATGGCCGTATTGAATGTCTGCTTGTCTTCTGCCTGCAGCTTTGCTGCTTCTTATGAGAGTTGAGTCTAATATTTGTTCATAGCTGTGTGCTTAAATGAAGGAGGGTGTAG